ATTATATTTTCTCGAAGGACAATCGGGCTTTATTATATTGTATCGAGAAATTTCCTTATCAAATCAATCTTATTTTTATTTTCTTTACATGTATTAAAATTTGTAAAAAAAAAAAAAAAATAATAATAATAATAATAAATAAATAAATCACTAGTTCTTAATTATCTCCTCTAAGTGGCTGTTGTCTTTATTTGATTTTGATAAACTTAAATCCACTTAAACGATATTTTTTTGGGGGGTGTGTGGTAAATTTGACAAGTGATTCAGAAAAAGAAGTCAAAAATGTGAAAAGTTTACGGACGAACAGACAAACAGCAGAGCTAGACGGACGCCGGACAAAATGTGATCAAACAAGCTCACTTGAGCTTTTAGCTCGATTGAGCTAGAAACTGTTAAATACTTTTTAAATGCTTTCAATAAAGACCATAATGTTGGTATTTTCAATTCATCTAGAGTTTGATTTGCAGTATTACGAATTTTATTTTTATGAGAGAAATGAGAATTTATTTCATAACAAGCAAATTCAAAGAATTGTGGTACCCCGCTTTCGGTGTCTTTGTGGGAGTGATGTCATTTGTTATGACATATTGTCTGAAATATGAACGCCCTTTGATATGTCATTTAGAAATTATTACTGAAGTAGGGTTTTTTTTAAATAAGGTCAATCGTGAAGGTCAAGGTCAATGGGTCACAAATCATAGCATGCTTCGAAATATCTTGTCACAGGTAATACACATGTCAAAAAATATGAAAGCCATATCTTTTCTCAAGATAAGGAACAAGATGTGGCAACATAACGAAGATTAAGCTTTTCTTAAATGCAAATTAAATACATGTATATTTTACCCAAAAAATTTTTTTATTAAAAGTAGGTTAAACTCTAAGGTCAAGGTCATTCTTGATATCCAATGAAAGGTCCTGTCACAAGGATTAAATATGTGAAACATGAAAGCCTTAGCCCAAACCCTTTAAAAGTTATGGTCAAGGTTTGTTTTTTAAAAGTAAGTTAAACTCCAAGGTCAAAGGGTCAAAGTTCTTTATATCCAATGAAAGGTCTTCTCACAAGGATTACAAATGTGAAGTATGAAAGCCCTATCCCTTACCGTTCAAAAGTTATGGCCAAGGTTAAAGTTTTTTCACAAGTACAAAAATCTCCAAGGTCAATAGGTCAAGGTTGTTGGTATCCAATAAAAGGCCTTGCCACAAAGAATACATATGTGAAATATGAAAGTCCTAGTATCTACCATTCAAAAGTTATGGTCAAAGTAAAAGTTCGGAATTTTTGTGTAAAAGTGGGTCAAACTCCAAGGTCAAGGTAAAAAAGTCAAATTTGGTGGTACCCAAAGAAAGGTCTTGTCACAAGGAATACACATGTGAAATATGAAAGTCATAGCTCCACTTCATCAAAAGTTATGGGCAAGGTTAAAGTTTTTGTGACGGTCGGACAGACGGACAGACTGACGGACAGACGAATGAGATTTAATGTCCCCTCGCTTTCGCGAAAGCGGGGGACAATAAACTGGTAAAATTGCTAACTTAATTTACTTTTTGTTCTTTTTGGCAGCAACAAAGAAGCTAAAATCGTCGATTTTTCATTGTTAAAGCCTAATATTATACATCATCTGGCTTTACTTAATAACAAAGATATTATTCTAAAAAAAGTGTTTTCCTGAACTGCCATCAATGTCACTGAGATATATTCATAGGTATTTATAGTTGAATTTACGTGTATAACTCAAAAGTGAATCTTTTCGCTCAATCTGAGACTAATCTGAGAAAATAGATTTAGATACCTCTTCCAGTGGCTAAGTAATAATGAACCTCTGCAACAAGCAGTTCTATGTGGACCTTTTTGACACGCTGGGAAAAAATGGGGAAAGTTGCTCAAGTTTTTATCTTGTCATTGCAAGGAAGAGCACACAGACAGGGGGATGCGGCTATGTCAATAGTGCCAGAGGCTCTAATTGACCATGTGGGGACAGTTCGCAAGGCGACCCGTCGATAGATGTGTATAATTACCCGAGCGTAAGCCATGTACCTTTCATACGTCAATGAACCACTCGCGGAGTAATACATCACTTTTTTCTTAAGTTTCAACACGGGTGGTATTGAGGTAGCGACTTGCGCGTTGTCATTCTAATTGAGAAGGTAGTGAACTGCTTTTTTGATACCCTTTTTATCCCATTAGTAAGTGTTATTTATAAACAACATTTCTAAAAGCTTTACACCTAGCCCCCGGTTCAATTTTTTGTATTTTTAAAAGTTTTTGTCAAAGGTAAAGAAAGGACACGTCTTAAGCGTTAAATAGACTAAATTGTGTTGAAAGTCATTTGATACATCAACATATTGTCTGATGAATCAAAACCAGACAGACTGAATTGAAATTTCTTCTGCTTCATTTGGAACGAATTGACCCCCCTCAGTTTTTCCAAAACCTATTAACACGCTATCGATAATAATCCGCTCATGGAACTGGAAAAAAAAGGTTTGACGATACACACAGTTTATAAATTTCTTTAATTAAGATGTTCTTCACGTATGTACGTTTTTTATATGACGAGTTCTTGTTAGGAACGAAGTGGGTCTTTTTGGTTGAAAATAATTGTTTTTAAAAACTCAGTTTCAAACAAAAGTTTTGTCACCATGGGAAAGATTCAAACAAAGGTCTTTCCATTGAAAGAGAAATGGTGAATCAAAGTTTACGTCATGAAGTTTCAAATTGTTCATTTTGAATTATTAACATTTCCTTTTTAATTTGGTGTGAATGCAAATCAGTTTCAACAACTTTGTCGAAAATGGCATATGTCACTGTCGGTAATTCGAGTTGTGTAGTGGACAAATGTAATAGCGGTATTTCAACAAACTGCGAGAAATCATCAAATTTTTACCAATTGCTACCCCAAACTCACTTGGTTTTGGCAAGTCTTCCAGATCGCCCATTTCGCGACAACCAAATGACAGTTCGTTATTCCTCCCCACATGGCGCTGTGGGATTCAGGTATATTGTTTCCGGTAGAACCGGGGCGTTCTCTAAAGGAAAACATTGGGTGTCCTATCACCTCCAATTAGAACAAATTAAGCGCTGAATGAACATACTGTAAAGTTCTCAAAGCCTGAGTAGAGATTGAATTTGCTATGTATAGGTCGAGCAAATATGCCGGTGGTCTCCTGTTTCAGTTACAAACTGAGTAACGTCTATCATATTTTAAAAAGAACTTGTGACTATTTTGGCTATTTGATGATTCAATTAAGACTGTTCATGTTGCAAAAGACACTTTGAAACTTTTTTGGTTTGGTTTCATTTTGGTTTCTTTCTCTGTACAGTGTTTTTTTTTTTCCTTTTTAAAAAATTTTATTTCATAATTTTTATTCTTTATTTCTTTTCTTTTCTTTTTTATTTTAATAAATGTTAAATAACTCTACCTTTCTCTATTTTCTGTAAATATTAGACGTAACCCACCAGAAAATAGCAGTGTACCTTATAGTTTGTTATTAATAACTAATAATACAATTAACATTACTCATAACAGCTATCTCAAAATAAACATCTTTCCTGAAAAGGTCGGTTTATGAGAGAAATCTCCTTTGGCTATTTTAAACTTAATCCCAATCTTGGCGCATCTTTGATTCATTGAGAGGTTTATTTTATGACGTTTACGCTGTATGTTACGGGTGACCATCATTGACGCATTGAGATATAATTATGCCCAGCCTATATATGCAATAGAAATCACAAATAGATCGTCATTGATGTTTGTTATAAATAAACATGTGTGAATTGGTGTATATAATTACGCGTGTAAAATAGTACCTGGTAAATATGCTAAAAAAGTGGAGAACTAGAAACAATAACAATCTTCGAATCCCTTTGATTCAATTCATTTTATTATTTATTTTAATTTATAGATAAAATTGCCTGACAGAGTAAAATAACGTTATTTAGAAAAAAAATTAACACCGATAGTTAGTACTAATATCTTGAAATAAGAATATAATCTTTGAATACTTTTAAAGAAATATTGATGTGCTTCTTTACCAATATGTTCAAATTCTGCACAATTCTTGATTATGTTTCTCAAGATTGCGGTTTGCAATTAATCAGAACCTGTATCTAAATAGATGATCGTTTTTACACTGGAGCATGGAGAAAATATTTTTGTAACCTCGTAGCAACCCTTTTTCTGAAGATAAATTTAATTGCTAGAAAACTAAGATGTCAGTAGCTTTTTTTTTGTTATAATTAACCAATGAAGAAAAGAATATTATGATTAAATGTTTTCTTTCTTTCAAACTGGATTAGGTGAATATTTTTCAATAAACTAAAAAGATGATTTCTTTCAAAACTGAGGAACTGAAAACTAGTTATGATTTTATATTATAGAATTTTAATTTTTATGTAAATATTCTATGGTAGTATTTTTAATATCATAAATAGATAAGAAACTGAAAGCACGTATCTCATACACTTCAATAAAATTTAAAAAAAAAAAAAAAAAAACAAAAAAAAAACAAAAAAAAAAAAAAAAAAAAAAAAAACGTCGCAACACGCCACATTTTTTAAAGTTAAAAATAATTTAATATTTATAAGCATTTGAAAAAATATATAACGAAACTTTAAGGCTTTCTCAAGCAAAGGAAATGTACTTACAATAATAAACAAAAGAGAAATACAATCTATCCAAAGTATTCAAAATTTATTTCAGTAGAAATATTAAGAAACTGTATGGGAGAACTCGATGTGTTCGGTGGAATTTTTTTCATTGAGTTATAGATTTTTCGATTGTGCTAATTACTTCGTGGCTGAGCCACACGGCGCTGCAATTGGTCAATTTTTCGCTGTCATCTTCCATACAACCGTACTCCTCATAAATATTCATATCGCGGGAACCAATAGTGTGGTACAAACTTTGTACTGGAGAAAATAATTCTAAAATTGTGTGTATAAAGTTTGTAAGCAACATATTAATGAACCAAAGGCGAATTTGTCACACGAGAAATCTGTACGACTTCTAAAGACAGACCAATATGTGTAGCACTAACCCAGGTGCAATGATGCTGCCATACGGCCTCAAGGTACCGGTATCAAATCCTTACCTTCCGGGCTCACAAATGGCACTTGAGCTTCAGCGAGCCCAGCAGTTCTATGACTACAGTACCAGGATGCATTATGGAATACGAGGCTATCCCAGTGCTCTTGGATTACCTTCTTATCAGGCTCACCCTTCTGTCGATCACTATCTTCAACACTATTTGTACAAAGATCCCAGAATTAGGTACTTACACGAAGAACCTAAGCCCAATCATAGTTACATCGGGCTCATTGCAATGGCAATCCTTAGCTCGCGAGACAAAAAATTGGTGCTTTCTGATATTTATCAGTGGATATTGGACAACTATCCATATTTTCGTACCCGAGGTCCCGGATGGAGAAATAGCATCCGTCACAACCTCTCTCTGAATGATTGCTTCATAAAGTCGGGAAGGAGTGCCAACGGAAAAGGACACTACTGGGCCATACATCCGGCAAACGTGGACGACTTCCAGAAAGGCGATTTTCGACGCAGACGTGCACAGCGCAGAGTTCGGCGACATATGGGACTGGCAGTACCCGATGACGACGAAAGCCCCGTGTCCTCTCCGTCTGAAACCAACTGGCCAGATGAGGAAGCCGATCTGCACATAACGGACAAGTCTCTAACTGAAAAATTTCCCCACGGAGACGACGAATGCTTGGACATTACAAACGATACAGAAAATTCTATGCCGTCTTCGGAAGAAACTGGAAGCCCCTTGGACAGACAATTGGAGCAGGAAACTTTGAATGTAAAAGTGATCGAAAGTGAGAGGCTTTCTCCAAAGAAGAAGAGAAATTTTGATATGGACAGTTTATTGGCCCCAGATGAGGAAATAAAGCGACAGAAGATGACAGAGGAACAGCCTACTTGTCAAAATCAGAAAGATAAGGAAGAAGAGGACGAGTTACCGTTAGATGTCCGTACAGAATCAAAGGACACCCAGAAAGAACAATACACTACAGTAAAGGGTAGTGAAAAAGAAAATGTCCTCGATTTATCCTCTCATAAAGAGGAATCGCTTGAACGAATTTCAACACAATCAAATTCAGAAAAGGGCGCTTTTTTACATGAAAATAGTGGACTTCTCTTCAGCTCGAGTTTACGAGGACTAACTTCTTATAATCCACAAAGTAGCAGTGTTTTCCAGGGATCCACGGATTCACCGAGTTCTCTTCAGCCGTATTTTCCCGCGTTTCCTGTCATGGGACTTAAAAATGGGCTCCAGCATTCGCTCTTTCTTTCGAAAACAATTTCTCATATTCAACAAAATCACATGAGTACCCAGTTTCCATATCGTCTGCCGTCGGACAGGAGTAGCCGACTCCCCGATGTAGCTCTAAACAGACAAATGACAAACTGAACTGAATTCTTGTGTGTGAATTAACAACAAAGCACTTATGTTACATTACAGGTTTGAATAAGGTATTGTAAATGTTAATGTCTTATTTCACACTTTGTTCATGTCGTAATGAAATTGTTACTTCTTGTTGCAACATTAAATGAAGGGAAACTGTAAGATAAATTCTCATAGATGTAAGTTTTGTGTACTCTTTGAATTGAAAAAAATGAAAATAATTTGTTATTTTGTTAATTGTATAGACATTAAAAGTGATAATTATTCAAACATTTTAGTCATTTTTTTTTAACAAGGGTTAAGATTGAACTTTATAGAAATGATGGTCGTTGATTTAGTATTTATCGTAATGGATTTGTTAAAAACAAGTAGACCATAGAATGAGTTGATTAAAACCCCAGAATTAGTCAAATCCAGTTTGAAATAGAGATAGAGACTAAGTCGTTTGTACATACTACGACTGTCGTCAATTAAATGATACACGTATATATACATTCTTGATTTGTTAATATACGTGTATCTCTTAAATGATCCAGTAACTTTACCCTAGAACTTATATGAAATTTCAGAGTAGCTCCAATTGACAAGTATGAAATGGAAAAATGCATATACAACAATTAAAACTACATGTGAATAGTAAATTTTCTTTAATTTATAATTGAAAAAAAATTACTATAGTGACTTTTATTTACAATTGAAAAAAAATTACTATAGTGACTTTAATTAACTGTAGCAATTTCTTTTCTATTGTTTAAACATTTCTTTAAGTACTTAGATTAAAACATATACATAAAGTTAATCTAAATAATGTTTATTTTCTTTTAGAAAGAAAAAAGAGCATAATTACTTTTGGAGGACAGTTTGGCATTTTTACCTACTTTCATTTACTTTCTTCAAGATATATTTAAGCTACCTGACTTGATTTCATATTAAGGCAAAAATCAAACAATTTCTCTGACTGATTCTGAAATAGAATAAAAGAAATTATATATTGAACAAAAAAATATAAATTAATGATCATTTTCGGAACAATGTCTAATCGACCATTTTAAAAATACCAGAGTTTTTTTCATTATCATTTTAGCATCATATAAGTGTTAATTGTAATGTACTGAATTTGTCACAAGTTCATAAACAGATAATTAAGATGAACATTAGTCATTACATTGTCAGCTTCAAAAAACCCCGAACAGTTCATTAGTTTTTTAAATCGTTTGGCATTATGAAAGTGTTATATGTATTAATTATTAAATTAATTGTATATTTATAACCGGATTTTTCATATTTATCTTAAAATAAGTCAATATGAGGTTTATTTCGTATATCTAGTTACCTGTTGCTGTAAAGAGCATGTACACTTTACTACTGTATGTGCGAATATCGTGTCCTTTATACCATGTTTAAATCGTTTTAAAGAAAAAGAAATTGATGGCCTGCTATACGATAATCATTGTGACTATACGAGGGCCGTTCAAAAATTACGTGGACTTGCTGCACAGAAAAAATATTTGACGACATAATCGAGCAAAATGTCGCACGTAATATAAAAGAATCTTTACTTATATGGTCTACAAAATTTCGTATCAAAATATTGTAAATTGGTATCAATACCAAGTGATTTTTCGCGACATAAAGATTTAAGTCAACGGAGCAGCAAAATTTTCTAAGATAGACATATGATGTAAAAAAAATTTATTTTGTCAACATTTTCACACAAAGGACCTTTACAGTTTAATACTATATATTTTTTCTCAACATCAAAACACCAATTTCTTTTCAAGTCTTTTAATCTATTAAACAAGTAAAGAATATCAATCTTTACCAATTTAAAACCAAAAACTGCTTATTTATGATATATAGTGTGACATTTTTGTGCTGTTAAAATTGTATATTAAAAAAAAATAATACAATGAACAATATACTGTATGAAAACAAATCTGACCCTGATTTTTTATAAAATTTGAAAATGATATAAGAAATTAAAATCAATGTTTGCTATTTGAAATTCAATACAGTAAGATCATACAAATTGTTTTTCTTTGTGTTTTATTATACATATTTTGAACTTGTTTATTTCCGAGTATTTTCATTAAAAATTTAATGTAAATTTGTGGTGAATTTTTCTTTGGATGATGTAGACCACATGTATTTTCACAGGCTTTTCAGAAAGGAATTTTTCAGAGGAAATTTACTATATTTCTGTTAGTACTTCAAATATCAACTGTAAGCCATTTTCCAAATAAGAAATTATAAGAAAACCGCCTGAATTGACCTTTTGTAATTTAGTTAATTAATGACGGTATAACGAATTTGGTCTCTGAATTGAATTTCTTATAACCTGTGAAAACTAATCATTAGCATATTCCTTTATCATACATTAAATGTACTTAGCACATCCATTATTTTTATTTTACATGTACATGTATATAAAAACATATTTCTGATTAAAAAATACTTCAAGTAATTTTTTTAATGTACAAATTCGCTCACAAACAAAATGTTCAGTTATACAATTCCAATGTAAGGTACATGCGTGTGCATTTAAATCTGCAGTTGTCAACTGAAAAAAGCTTCCATTGGAAACTGACATCGTGATATATTAACCCCCAAAGTAAGTAAAATGACCTGCTGTGAGAGAAATTTATTGTTTATGGCAACATTGTTAATAAAACATTCACAATTTATACCGTATAATTATTTTTTCAGCAAACTTTGCAATGTTTAAAGCAGGGATGTGGGCTTAAAGGGTCCACTTTGAGAGGTTTTAACAATGGAGCTTTTGTGGCAAAGCCGTGACGAAATGATTTTTATTAAACAAAAAACAAAATTATTACAACAGTGTTAATGTTAAAATCTTTGTTCATTTAGTTCTTGTTTAATTACTTAATTACATGTACCTTGTCTGACTTTTGCTTTACAGCAGGGTATTCCTCAATGCTGACTTTGTTACTTGGAAGATTTGAAAATATCTTCAGTGTATTTTTTATTGGCAAATTGACAGATATAAAATTACGTTTGTTTTTCACATATAACAGGGTGGCGGATGGCGGTATACGTTATGATTTGGCGTTATAAAGAGAATTTTGTATAGCAGGAAAAACGTTCTTGGGAAATCATGGCGGTATTGCGGAAATGGCGATGAATCGAATGGCGATAATTCGAGAATTGACTGTACATAATAATAGAACAATTTAAGGATACATTTGAAAAATAGATCGAAAAATATTGCGAATTATAGAAAATAAATGAGTTAAATTTTGGATTCTACATGCTTTTGCGTCAATTTTTTTGTCTTGCTCCGTACCTCTCCATCAGCGATATCAACATACCGATAATTTTCGTAGAATTTTTTTAAAATACAGACATTTTGCCCAAACTTTATTGGAATCTTTGAGATACATATTTCTGTGAAATTTCATAACTCTATGACGTCTGTAAGAGTAAATAATAGCACAGTCCGCGTAATTTTTGAACGGCCCTCGTATAACTACAGTACAACCAGCTAGAGACATTATCACCAGGTGTGCTGTAGCTTCAGCGTAGTGGACGGTAGGGAAGTTGAAGATACAATGTATTTCGTTTTTAGCAATACCACTTGGCATTTATCGCGTTCTAAAGATTCTAAGTCAACAAGGGGCATTTCATTCTTTAATTTATCTAAGATGAATATGATGTAAAAAATGTGAATTTATTTTGTTGTATGTCTTCACACAAAGGACAGATTCTAATACTGAGTATATTTTTTCTCGAACTCCTGGTTAAACCCAAAATGGTTCAAGGTCTTTGTACAAACTGATGACTTAGGGCAGAATATCAATCAATACCAATCCTGAAACACTTCATATGTAGTCTTATTTCTTTAAAAATCATGCATTTTTGTGCATGTTAAAATTGTATATTAAAAAAAAATAATACAATGAACAATTTACTGTATTAAAACAAATCTGTCCCTGAATTTTTATAAAATTTGAAAATGATATAAGAAATTAAAATCAATGTTTACTTAATCATTGAAATTCCATACAGTAAGATCATACAAATTGTTTTTTCTTATGTGACTTCTAAATACAAATTGTGAGTGAACTTGTTTATTTCCGGTATTTTCTTTAAAAAGTTTCAGAAGATGTAAATTTTTGGCGGAATTTTTCTTTGGATGATGTAGACCACATGTATTTACCAGAGGCTTTTGAGAAAGGTTATTTTTCAGCGAATTTTACATAAATATGTAGAAGCTGAAGTGAGCGGCAACTGTAACGCCATTTTCTAAAAAGAACATATAAGAAAATAACCCCTGAATTGAGTCATTGAGTTAATTAATGACGTTATACTTCCAAAATGGTCTGGTCTCTGCCAAATTCTTTCTTATAACCTGTGTACACTAATCATTAGCATATTTCTTTATCATACATTAAATGTACTTAGCACATCCATTATTTTCTTTTTACCGTATCATATGTATTCACCATGAAAACTAGAATTTTTCATTTAAACCCTTATCTAACTTAACTGATCATTCTGAATTGGAGGATTATAATCTCACGATCACACTATCAAGCATTTGCCAGAGATGTACAATTCCAATGTAAGGTAGGCGGAGTTATAAGTGGACCCCCTGTCAACTGAAGCTTCCACTGGAAACTGACATCGTGTTATTATCTCCCAAAGTCAAGTCTAAAGTACTGTGACCTGCTGTGAGAGAAATATACGATTTATAATGAGACAATTGGGGGACAAAAGAATGTGGACAGGCCCCTAACGTGTGGGGCGGGGCGGCAAGCCTTGGTCACTCTTATTTTGTCAATGATGTGGGCTTCAGGAGGGTGGACTTTGAGAGGTTTTATTGACAGATGGAGAAATGATAGGCTGTTACGGGACCTAGCTTGTTTTTTATTGTGACTGATACAGAAGAAATAGGGAGGCGTGGATTTGTTAACTTTTTTTTTCTTTTGTCTGTATTCCTCAATGCTGACTTTGTTACTTGGAAAATTTGAAAATATATTCAGTGTAATTTTTATTGGCAAGCCTAAAAAAGACACAAAATTTACAATTTGTTTTTCACAAACCAGTGGTGTATGGATCTGAATTTCATTGAAAAACCAAAGGACAACAGATTTTTTATTTAATCCAAACAATAGCACGAAAAAGAATAAAATATTA